AAGGAAACATCAGATTCTTAGTTCAAACACACCTTTGTAAAAAGGTGCAAATGATAGCTAATGTATCAATTAATAAGACTAAGTTTGATACTTACACGTCTCGTCTGTCTGAAAGAAAGTCTTGATGCAGTCCAAAGGTTCAAGTTGATCTTTGCTGAAGTTGGTTAATGAAAACGAACCAGTTTGAGTCAGAGAATCTTGGTGAATGGAAAAGTCAAGGCCGAAGCCTGGCACGAGCTTAGGATGTCCTGGAGCGTTGTAGCTCACATCTTCTCAAAACCTAACAGAACCACCGACTCTGGGCGGGTCACATGGTGTGAGGCCTTTAAGGTCGGAGAAGATTCCCGCCTCTCAAGATGGGCTTGTCCAATGAGAAAGGCCGGAATCCCAAGTGGGAGTTTTGAGATACTGGGGAGTTTTTATGACCCTTTGTCTGAGGGCATGGTAATTTGCAAATGGAACTTGAATCAAAATTGCTAAAGATTCTCAGAACACTAATATATTGCCTATGTACCAACATATACACGCTCGTTTAGATCATCAGAAGGCGAATTCATAGATACTAAACATGGTAGGATTACATATAGGCAAGATGCCAGGAATGAGTGTTTCCATCATAAGCCTGCATAAAACAGTATAAAATCTCAAAGACAACATACACAATGACCTGAAGGATATGTGTGTTCATTCAAAGAAAGGTTTTCCTATGGATTAATTAGAAAAGAGTCCATTTCTACTGTGCACTGTGTCTCTTTCTAATTCAAAGGCAGTGATTTTCCCTACTCACATTCCATTAGGTCGTAAATGGCTCTGGTCTAGCAACGGTGTCGTGGTTGCCATGGTAACCAGTGGCCTGTGGTCATTCGTAGACATCCAGGCGCCCAGTCTATTGAGTGAGGGGTCTGTGACGACTTGTTAAACTAATGAATAACTGATTTGTTAAATCAAATGAAAAATTGTGTTTTTGATTGGTCCAGACGCTACATTAGCCTGTGTCTTCCCTGAAAAGCAAAATTGTGAATTTTTTATTGATTTGGTTATTTTGGTAGTGACAAAAGTTACTACAATTTTATTTTATTTTTTAATCTGCCATATGGGCTTGAATATATTGGCCAGTCATAAAAATCTCAAAATAGCCAAATATTGGCCATCAGAATTTTAGAAAATCACAGATGAACTCTTTTATTTGTAAGTATTTCATATCTTCTAATCGCAATAGGTGATTGTCTTCAGAATTTTTTTTTGTTATGCTGGTTGAAAGTCTCTTCACATCCCGATAACAATCATTAAGTTAAGAGGTCTAAATGTATTTATCTGTATTTCTATATTCTGTGGAAGGGATAGGACCAATAAATTCCTATATAAAAAATAAATAAGTTTGTCCAATCAAAATGCTCGGTCCGAGTGTTTTAATTGGATTTCCTACCTGCCTGTCAACGTATGTATTAGCATACCTCTGCGCACCCGGTTCACGCAGACAGGATACGTCATCAGCGTGTTCACGCACGCTGTGCAGACAGAGCGAGACTGGCAGACAAATATCAACAACCCAATCTTCCTTCCTGATATTGTAGTACTTTCTAAAGTTTTCTCACCGGTGAATGACACATGATGTAGCCCAGCGGTTCCCAATTCCTGTCCTCGTGCCCTCCAGCTCTGCATATTTTGCATGCCTCGCTTAGTTAACACACCCGATTCAGATAACCAGCTCGTTAGAAGTGAGCTACGTGCATGAACTGCGTTCCGATCAATATGATCCCTACAGTGTTCATTGCTCCCTACTCCCTGAACAGGGGAAATCCGTTGAAGTTTACTTCACTTCGGAACATTCATTCATGGATTTGCGCTGCGCAGCGTCTTCACACACATCACACACACATGTCTTCACATCCAGTGCGCTGAACCGCTGATGTAGCCTATTGTAGTAATGTTGTCTCTCGTATTCTGGTCTGTGAGCGTATATGCATTCAGGGGGCGTGGCTTTGGACGGCGATTGCAGGGTGGGTGGGACATTCACTTTCAGTGCTATCAGGCTAAAGTTAGCATTTTCCAAGATCTCCTACTGCACCTTTAATGCACAAAATAAACATGAATGAACATCAGAGCATATTTTAATTTAAATTGCGGAAAGACGTCAATGCACCATTTTCAATCTTAAGTCCACCTCTCCTGTCTGATTTGTTTGTCGGACAAGATGGCAGATTCTGCATTATTATTGGTCAGATTGCCTGTCAATCAAGCTCTTTGCGAAGGGTCAGTTGGAGTTTGCTTCTTCTATTTATTTTTGCAACATCCAAGTAATCTCGTTTGTCCATTCTAGATCAGTGGCTTTCAGTTCAGCTTCTTGGGACCCACAGCACTGCACATTTTGCATGTCTCTCTTAATATCCAACATGTTGAATAATCCAAAAGTTGACAATTGCGCATGCGCTCTGTAGATTATCACATGGAATGAAGCGATTCCCAATCAGAAAACGAGCTTATGGAAGCCGGAAGCATTACTCACCTCCAGCTCAATCTGTAACATGTAAAGTCCACGTTCTCGAAGTCTCTTGACTCTAGTTGTTTGTGAATGGAATCGTTAGTGTGTGGTGTGCTGTCTTGGTCACATTGCGGCACTTCACACGCTATAGGAACAGAACTGTTAAATCCATGAATTTTTTTTAAATTCTTGTGTGGTCTCACACATTTTGAAAATCTGATTTTAAAAATCTTTTAGCGTGGGCCACCCTTTATCTGACACTTAATTTTAGTTAATTGATGTCTCTGCTGAAAAACTGATGGCCTGAATTAGATGTCTTAAATAATGGAAATGAATAAAATGTGTCCACATTGGTCCACATGACCTGGACTAAAAAAAGATCTTGACAGAGAAATCAGATATTTCAGTATGAATCCATGAATTTTATAGATCTATTCTCAGTGATGGTCTTATTTGTCTCTAATTTCATTTCTCTAAATGGATTTAAGAAGAGACAAAGTTGATACTTTATTGCAACGTGGCGAAACATTGTCTCTTGAGCTATGAAAGAGCAACCTATGAACGATAGTTTTCCTCTGGGTATCATCTTTCATTGCTCTCTATGTACCACTAAACTGTACCACTAAACTCTAAGCTGCTAACAACACTTGGAGAGTGAAAAAGGAGATTTAAAAAGAGGAAAAATAATACAACATTTCATAGCAGTTCCTCACTTGTTTCCTCAGGTTGATGGTGTAATGCACCTGACAACAAGAGCAGTCAGATCTGTGTGTTCTTTGCCTTATGCATTATGTTATGTTATATTTTGAGGACACTGCTTGATTGGTTTGTAACATTTAGAACCCGTTAATGGCTTTTTACTTAGATGAACCTTAAGTGACCTGCATTGGGAAGGCTGTTGGAAGCATCATGTGTTGTAGCCACAAAAAGGCTATTCAACCCATTTTTAAGGAGGTTTAAAAATGCCTCATGAATGCATGTAACCAGGCACTTGTTAAATAACTTCATAGACTGTGATTATAAACATCCAGCCTTAGCATAATGAGCAGTACAGTCTTTTGAATAAGGCTGATCATTATGAGGGTGATGACATTCATTAAAGACTCGCATTTACCAAAGTTTAATAGTGTGATCATGGTTGCCGTCTCCTAGCAACAATTTGTTCCAGTTGACACAGATAATTGTATTCCCTAGCGGAAGACCATTATCATTTGGGTAATCCTGGATTTTCCAACTGAAAACTGAAGAAAAAATCACTACCGAATGACAGTATAGGTACTAAAGGCTGGACTGATGGGTCTTAAAGGAGTAGTTCACCTAAAAAAATGAAAATTTGTTGAAAATGTACTCACCCACAGGGCATCTTAAGATGTAGATGAGTTTTTTTTCTTCATCAGAACAGATGTAGCGTTGCGTCACTCAGAGATTAATGGGTGCCGTCATAAGGAGAGTTCATACCACACTATTCCAGTCCATTGATTAATATCTTGTGAAGTTAAGAGCTGCGTGTTTGTAATAAATCCATCATCAAGATGTTTTTAGCTTTAAACCGGCTAATATTCAAGTCCTCTATCCATAATAAAGTTGTCTAGGCTAAATCAGGAGAGAAATATGCACAAATAAAGCACCTTTACAAGCAAAAACAGTCCAAAGCAGTTGTAAACAAATATGTCAAAAATTGGTATTGGTCAGGATTTTAATATTGGTGCATCCCTTTCCTACATATGTAGTGCTTTTAATTGTACACTTTATTTTGCTTCAAAATCTTGACCACTATTCACTGCCATGATAAAGACATTTTTAAATATATTTCCTATTCGTCTAAAAGAAGAAAGTAATATACGTACACCTAGGTTGGCTTGAGGGTGAGTAAACCATGCCGTAATTTTCTTTTTTTGGGTGAACTATCCCTTAAAGGCCATAGGCACCATGACTGACTGGTTTATAAAGTGTTTCAAAGTAAATCTTTGAAATGTATGCTCTGTCAGTTGCAAAAAGTAGGCCAGGTAATAGAACATGGCCAGTTATTTATGAGCAGCTATGCATAAAACTCATTTGACCCATGCATAAAATTACATTTCTGAATGGTGACCCATAGCTAAGTTTTGCTTTTATTATGGCTGTGTAGCATCAATTAATAACACCTGTTGACATATGGAGTACAGTAGCAGGAAACAATGACTTCATCCGCTTGAGAGAAGCATCCATTCCATTTTCATCACCTTTGCTTCTCTGTTAAGATGAGGGAGAGGTTCCCAAGAGCTGTTATGCTCTGTTTTGCAAGATGCGTCCTTGGAAAACCTCTAGCTTCTTTCTCCCAGTGGATGTATGCTTTCCCTGTTGAAGTTTTCTGTATGCATGATTCATAAGATTCTAATATGCTACTACTGTTTATATTTTAGAAGTGGTCTTAAGCGGTTTGATTGCCTTCAGATGTAGTATCTCTTACAAATTGCTTACTTGGTGTTTATAGTCTCTGCATTTTAAATTCAAAACATTTGAAGAGTAGTGTAATCTGACTTGATTGATGTATTTTTTTTATAAACTTTATACAATTCTGATGTGCCACTTAATTTTACATCTATTCACTATAGCATTGATTGGGCGATAGACCTTCTGTAATGTATTAAAGTTTGTCTCTTGCTTACAACTGAATGATGTGGAGGGAAATTGGATTTAAGAGCCTTACTAGTGACATCAAAGGGCTGCCAAAGCCCAGAGCCACATGTGGCTGGTGTTTGCTGTGGCTATATCTGGAGTATGTGTATGCTTTATTTGTTTTGATGTGGAGGATGAAAAATTGAAAATGCTCTCTATTCTTTTTTTTCTACCAGCAGGCCTAGTGGTTCTCTTCAAAGGTGTGACTCAGAATGTGACATTTAGGACCCTTTCAAAATCAGGCCTGTCATGGATCACACCAGTGTTACTGTGAGAGCACTCTGAAGGTCTCTGTGCTTGAAGTGTCCTTCAAAAAGACATCACAAAAGACAAGGGCGATTCTCAAGTGTATTGTCATCTTTATCAACGTTTTATCGAAACCTTCTTTTACGTGATCAGTATAAAGCAGATAATGTAGGCAGATGATTGTATTTTAGAGCTGACTCTGGGGAGTTCTGCTAACTACTGTCATGACCTTCCTATCGCGAGGGGTCACATGAGCTTCCGGCCATGGAGAAAGAGAACACAAGACAGAAGAGAAGAGAGAGTAATGGTGACCATAAAGGGTGACAAAGATTCTTTGTTCTTTAATGACAAAGATTTTTTGTGCATTTACACTACTTTTCAAGGTTTTGGGTTATTTTATTTTTATTTTAATGTGTAAAATATGCTAACCAAGGCTGGATTTATTTGATTAAAAATGCAGTAAAAACAGTAATATTCTGAAATATTACAATTTTTAAATAACCGTTTTATTTATATATATACAGTGGCGGCTCCTGCCAATTCTCTCAATGTTTGCATGATTAATGATGATAGGTCACCCATTCAATTGATAAATTAACGGCTAGTTAAAGATGTAAAGGAAACTGAACTACTATTAATTAAAAATAAACTGACTCTAACAATCAATCTCTTGCTGTCCTTATATTTCTACATGTGTGTTAACACAATTCAGCAGCAAATGAAGACATGAAAAACTTTTTACTTCAATTTCAGTTTAATAATAATTGATGTCACATAAATCACTATTTACACAACTCACTTATATTACACTGCTCATTTACAATATTACTCACTTATATTACACAGCTCATTTGTATTACACTGCTCACTTATATCACATTACTCACTTATATTACATTGCTCCCTTACATTAACTTACACTGCTCCCTTACATTACACTGCTCACTTACATCACATTACTCACTTATATTACATTGCTCCCTTACATTACACTGCTCACTTACATCACATTACTCACTTATATTACATTGCTCCCTTACATTACACTGCTCACTTACATCACATTACTCACTTATATTACATTGCTCCCTTACATTACACTGCTTACTTACATCACATTGCTCACTTGTATTACATTACACCTGTAGTTGTCCATGCGATGTCCGTCACGCTCTCGGGATGGAACAAAATGCAGGGGTAGCAGAATAAAGCGTTAGTTACTTCGCAGCCCGCTAGCCATTTTTTCCGCTCATGCCACGTCCTCGAAAATCCCCGTTTATACGACTTCCCGCCCTTTGTTGATACATGTTTAATTTTTAAATTTGGTCTTGGTGGTCCTAATTCTTTAATTGCAAATTTATCCTTATTGCTATGATGACTGAATGGTATTTCTTTCAATGACACGATAGAATTCATCTGCGCTGAGGTAACGTTCGCCAAGATGTCGATCAAGTTCAACTGACAACTGAATTTGAGTTGGCGTAGCTGTCCCCGTCTCTCTCTGTTTTTTTTCTTTCTTTTTTCACATTTGATAAAGATATTAAAGTAGTTTTACATTTTTTTCTTGTTGTTAAAATTCAAAATAGTTTTTAAATATTATTGGATGTCACTGTTCCCACCAATCTTTGCACAAGTTAAGGTTACGCATGATGATGAAAGCACGTTAGTGCTTGCCCTCCCGGAACTCATAGAGATTGCACTGCAGTGCCTGCAGTTCGAAAAAAATTATCTTTGTATGGAAGTCTATGAGAGCTCTCGGGGCGATTCTCAGTCTGACAGAAATCGCCCAAAAAGGGGC